TCGAGGTTGAAGCTGCAGGCCACACTACATGAGAATACTTTGTGGGTAGCTACTCTTTTTGAAATTTAATGAAAACACGAGGCCTGTTCATATATTTCGGGAAAAATTAAGCCTAAATCATCCTAACGAAATAAGGGAAGAACATTCCATATGAATGAAGGTGATGCCTGAACTCGGCTTGGAAACTGGCTTCCTAAAGATGTCAGTAAAGTTTATTGGAACAGAAATCGAAACTAAGGAGATCTTGTTTTAACTGAATACCTGTGGCTGCTAGAAGAGCTGATGTGTTCATCCATTTCTAACCTTCTGATGGATTTAAATGGAATGATTATGAAAAAATGATTTAATTTACTGTATGTCCTAATTTACTGTCCATTTGTCCGACAAACCTGCATCCCAAATCGCCTGAAATCCATCTCCTCCAATATGAACATCACTCACAAACACCAAGGTCATGCTGTTCAGCGAGGCTGTAAAAACTCTCTCTCCTGAATCATGACTACCACAGATGCGGTCTAGTCGCAGGCTCGTGTCTGTATCGAAGATGTCCAAGAAGTCCAATAGGCAACCGGGCGTCTCCTCTATAGAGAAGGGTGCTACCAGGCGCAGATGAGGCCGATAACCGGAAGGCAGGCTTAGATGCCAGTAGCAGAACGAATTTGGCGGATAGCTCCGAGGGTAGCCAGGACTCACCAGAAGGCCGTTTAGACTATGATATGAACCGCCACAGTCTAAAAATGTGTCCAAGGTCAACAAAGTCAGAAAATGTAATTAAAAAGTAAATAGGTTAATTTTAAAATGAGGAGATCAAGCTTTACGCTGTGTGAAAATTTTTGATAACTATCTTACTTGTGCAACAGACAAATCTACAAATTGTAACGTTCCACGATTTTCCCCAACTTCTTTAGTCTTCCCCCGAATATGGATCGCGATGATCGCAAGAACTTTAGGGAAGAGGGGGCATTCGATCCAGGGAGGGAGCATGCTTCTTCAGCCCACATCAACTCCCTAGCTACATCTAAAGGGCCACAAAACCAAATTGAGGTAGTAATTCAAGTCTATTCTATTTCATTGTCTATCATTTTATTGGGGTCTAATCAAAATTTTTCAAAATGATGCCATTGGTCTTTTGAGTTTAAAGTCTGGCCGAAAGTCCCTTGACATTACAAAGCTCATAAAGTGTTGGTGGCCCAAGCCTATACAAATGCGCACTACACATTCCATCTTCCAATATCTTTATTAGGGATATTAAAAATAAAAAAATAAAAAAACTTACTTTATTACTTATAAATAGACAAATAAAAACGGAGTCAACTCCTTAAATAATTGGGTAGTTTAGTTACTAGATAAAACCACTTAACTTGGCTAGTAAATATTTTAAAAGAAAGTTTACTTAAAAGTTATTTGACCTTGTTTTCGCAACTTGGTCATATCAGTAGGAGGACATAGAGGAACGCACCCAGTCCGGAGTCCAATGTATGAACGAGAATTTCTAGAGTCGGACCATGGGCGGGATACACTCCCAGACATTTCGCCGATATCGTAGTCGGCATCTTCAGTGAGTCATGTCATTATTATCACCATACT